ATCCTCTGCTGTTGGTGATGATGAAGTCAGTACAACTGTGAATCTGATAGCAAAATGATTACGATATTCCAGTAGGTCCCAAGAAATGGAAAATATTTCAGGCATGATGGGAGTTTCTCAGAGTTCTCCACAGGCGACCAACAGTTTAAAATTATCTGAAAGCTCCCCTACCAAAGGTAGGATACAGAACAAATAATTTTCTTTTGAAAAGTGTATTGGTAAAACATAATTCAAAAACTCTTGTTTGAGCAAATGTCTGTTCATAGCTTTCATTGCCTTTTTGTTTAAAATCTTCAGTTTGTAGAAGTATCTTCTATGGTTTTATAGTCATACTCTTAGGTATTCTTGTTTTCTAGTCAGCCTTTTTTGGAACATGACACGAGTTTGTCATAACTGGATTTGTCGAGCAATTCTTGCAATGTGTGTATGCACACACCCCATGCCCTATGTGGTTGGCACATCTATATCATCAAGCTTATTTTCTCCCTTTGCTTCTAGACAAGTGTCTTTGTGTCCCAGATTTATTTCTTCACTAAAACTATGTATCTCCTTCCCCAGGTCTTTACTTCATAATTTTTAGCTTTCTTGGTTCTTTCATTTCTTCTGGCCCCGAAACTGACAATGTCCTCAGCAGATCCTGAAGGACCTCTAAGCCTCCCTTTTGTAAGAGACTTCTCTTATGTTAGCCTAACTCTATTTACCACGGAAATGACAACTGATTCACAAAACTTGTTACAGTTAATCAGGAAAAGCTGACAGTCTTCAAAGAGACTATTGTGAAGAGTCTTTGAGTTTGACTCAACTTCAAGTATGTTAGGCATCCTAGGCAGGAGATAGGTGGAAGGTAGGAGTGTGGATGAAAGTTTACCATCTGAGATGGCCCTCGGCACACTCCAGAACAAGTCTCTCATCCTTGGGGTTTTTTTCCCTTCCCTTTCCCACACATCGTTCAATTCTGTAGCACTCTATAGTTAGTCACTATTTTAAATGTAACATTATTTAAAATGTCAGTATGAGCACAATCAATTTTTGGGATCAAGTAAGTAACTGGCCATTCAAACATCATCTACTAAACGTATCTTGGTATACGTTCCTTCCTTGGGAAGGAAGCAGCAAACGGTGCACAGAATTACCCTTGGAAGCAAGGAGTGATATTCCAGTATCATCAACAGCTGTTATGACACAGGCACACCCAACCAGATGCCCTTGCAGCACAAGGGCTTAAGGGTTTAAACCTTTAGTTGCTGTGTTGTGGGGGTGGGTCCTAGGAAAGTGGCCAGGGTAGGAGCAGTTGAACTTGAGGAGCTCAGGGCAGAGCTTTTATCAACCAGTTCAGAAGTATTTCAGCAGGCAAACCATAAGAGATTCTTAAATACAGAGAACAAACTGAGGGTTGATGGGGTTTGGGGTGGTGGGGAAAATGGGTGAGGGGCATTGAAGAGGGCACTTGTTGGGATGAGCACTGGGTATCATATGTAAGAGATGAATCACTGGAATCTACTCCTGAAGCCAAGACTACACTGTCTATTAGCTAACTTGAGAATAAATACAATAAAAAAATTAAAAAAACAATGTACTATGAGGAAAAAAACTTACTTAAATATTTTTGAGAATGAGTTAGTACATTAAAGAGAATCAGTATTTATTATGCCTGTACCACAAGCCCTGTATTAGTTTAGAACATTAAAAAGTATAATGTATAATGTGTGTGTTCTTTTCAAGTTCTTGACTTTAATCACTACCTGAGATTTAAAAATGAAACCACTGGAGAATAAAATAATACCACATTTAACCATGTAAATATTAAATTGTCTAACATAGAACACGGGATGGAAATTCAGTGGAGTGGGAGGAGGATGCATAAGGCAGAAGCGGGACCCTAACAGGGCCTTGAACATGGTAGTGGAATATATATTAAAGAAGATACGCGGCAGTGGGGAGAACTGTGTAAACAATGGCTTAGAGATGGAAGGAAGCGTTACACTGGACTGTGTCAGGTGTCACAGTGAGTAGCACTTCAAAATTAAAAAAATGAAGTGTTAGCTTAAAAAAGAGAACAAAGTGGTTCCCACTGAATACCAGCTTGCAGTGAGGTTCATGGTATTCTAACTGTAATAGCTTGGGTCTGTTTCTCTGGAATAGTATGTATTCAACATGAAGAAGAAAGGCTATCTTGCTTGAAAAATCATAATACAGATCTTTTTCTTAGCTTTCTCAATTTAGTTCCCAATGTTTCTCAATCTTACCAAGGTTATCACGTATTTGTTAAAACAGTGTGATTTCAACATTGTCTACTGAATTTGAACTCACTGAACCCCACTTTTTTTTGAGATGCTCAAATCACATGGTTTATTCAATCAATTCAAAACACCATGAAAAGCAACAGGAATTTGATGCAATGCGCCTGGGATCTGGTACCTACAAGATGGAAGGACCATACTTCTAGGATTCTAGAATCCTGGGCTGTATTTTGACACTCCACCTGCTGCATTGTCCTTCCCTGCCAATGATGAGATTACAAGGACTGGAGTTGAAGTTAAACAAGGGGCCCAGCAGACGCAAGGTGCTGTAACCAGCACATGGTTGGTTATCTATTGGGAAGATATCTGCCCAATAGTTTGTTGGTCACCGATTAACCAGCTGAGTGGCTGTTTTCGGCAGAATACTGGCCCCCAAAAATGCCCTAGTTTTAGTCCTTAGAACTGTGACTATGTAACTTTATATGGCAAAGGGATCTTTGCAGATGTGATAAAGAAGTTTGAGATGGGGAGATTATCTTGCATTCGCTGGCAGGCCTGGTATAATGATAGGAGGCCTTTTGGGAATGTGGGAGGCAGGGATGTCAGAGTTAGAGAAGATGTGATAATGGAAGCTGAGTCAGAGAGATAGACTCTGAAGGTGCTACACTGCTGGCTCTGAAGGTGGAGGAAGGAGCCATAAGCCAAGGAAAGCAAGTGGCCTCTAGAATTTGGAAAAGCCAAGTGTTAATGGACTGAGTTGTGTCCCTCCCCTCTGCTGAATTCCTATTTAAGTCCTTTGCACCCCACTTTTGATGTACTTGACTGGAGTTTTTGATTGGCAGAGAAGTAGGACACACCCCTCCTATGCTGAGGGACCTGCTTTGGGAGCTGTCCCCCCCCACCCCCCCGGGTGTGGTGTTCAGGCAGCTTTTTTGTGTGGTGAGGGCTGCTCCCTTGGTACAAATACTTCTTTAGGTGAAGGGGCATCCCTATCCCCAGCCCCATGTGCACACATGGTGCTCCAGCTCTTCCCTGGGGCTCTGCTCTGCTTCCACATCCAATGCAGGGACATCAGATTCCAAGGCAGCCTCCCCAAGGCATTCCAAGAGGCTTCAGGCTAGCAATTCTTAAACTTTTTCAGGCCATGGGACCCCTTTGGCAGGCTGCTAAAGACCATGAATCCCTTTTCAGAGCAAGGTTTCAAATGCATAAAATAAAATACATGGGATTACAAAGGAAACCAATTATATTGAAGTACAGTTAACAAAATGTTAAAAAACTTATGTTGTAGCAGTACATATACTTAAAATTTTTTAAATGTTTATTTATTTTTGAGAGGGGGAAACAAAATCTGAAGCAGGTTCCAGGTTCTGAGCTGTCAGCACAGAGCAGGGTGGGGCTGGAACTCACAAACCATGTGATCATTACCCTGTGAAGTCAGAAGCTTAACCGACTGAGCAACCCAGGCACCCCTGTGTATTTTTTAATTGACCTATTGCATAACAAGATCTAGTGGAGGGTCTATCTAATAACTGTGATTGAAGATATTGTAACAACTATGATGTGATGTAAAAACACCTATGGGTTCTACAGGAGACTAAAGCATACTTACCTTACTGCCCCTGTGGTGTGTTGCCTACTTTCATAATGGAAGGAAACGCTAAATGCCAATTAGAGGTTAGGGAAAATAAAAATGTAAAAATTTTTTGTCATCCAAATTTCACAGTAACCCTGAATTCTCTCTCCCCTGGTTAAGAATCCCTGGGGATAAAGCTGGCCCAGAAATCAACACCTCACTGGAGGCCCCACCCATGCTCTGGGGGCAGGAACCTTTAGGCCACCCACACAGAGCTCAGAGCTGACTCTGGGTGGGGAACTAGTCCTGGCAGTTTGGGGGCAGGAGAGAAGAGCTCCTGAGCCCTTGTCGGTACCACCTTAAACACCCATCCTTTACTGTTGACGGGCTTCTTCTCAGCTTCAGAGCACCTACAGACCAAGTTTCAAATTGCTGATACCAGTGTGACTTCTCCCAAAACTCTTCTTTTCACGGAGGCAGATCTCTGGGTGCTTTGGGTCAACGCTGAACTTGAGTTTTCTCATCTGCAAAAGAAATATCCACTTCATAGGATTGTTAGGAGGGTTAAATGAGATAATAGCTGTGAGCTGTAAATTGTATAGCGCCATCAAAGTTTGGGCTATTATTATTTTTGACGGTTAGTTCTTTGAGGGCTGAAAACCCATGCAGCCCCCTTCCCCGAGTATCTGGCACGTGTTAAGCGCTCCATAAACACTTGTGGACCGAATGAAGTGCGCACTTGCACGTGGGCTTGGGTCGGCGAGAATCCGCTGCTTAAGGCGACCAGTGCCGGCGCAACACCAGCATTTGTCCTTGCTAACAGATAGTAAACGCCTTTCTGGCTTGGCGCCGAATGGCAACCACAGTTCCCGTGCTGCTTTCCCAGAGGACCCCCCGGACGGGGCTGCCGGGCCGGGAGCTCACGCCCCACCCCCCAATCCCGGTCTCCCACTCCGGCTTCCGGGCCAGGTAGGCGGCTGCGGGAGCGGCGAGGGGCCGGCCGGGGAGGGGCAGCGCGGGGACGCAGCGCAGCCGGGCCGGCCGGGAAGGTGCCGGCAGCGGGCCGGGCGGCGGGCGCGCGAGGAGGGGCCAGAGGGGTGGGGAGGGGCGGGGCCGGCGTTCTCGTCACTTGATAAAACGCCTGCGAGTCTCCAGAGAACAACGGGCTCATTCAGCCACCGGGAGCAGCCCGCGAGGGGGAGAGGCCAGGCGGAGAGCGCAACTCGTCCCGGGGGTGGGGCCGGCCGCGGTGGCCGGAGGGGATTAAGGTGGCCGCGGCGGCGGCGGCAGTAGCAGCAACAGCAGCAGCGCGGCAGCCTCGAACCCGGCCCCGAGCGCAGGGCGGCCGCCGCGGCTCCAGCTCCCCTCCGCTTGCGCCCGCCCATGGCGGCCGCGGGGCAGCTGTGGCTGCTCTACCTGTCCGCGGGCCTCCTGCCCCGGCTCGGCGCTGCCTTCAACTTGGACACCCGCGAGGAAAATGTGATCCGGAAAACCGGGGACCCCGGGAGCCTGTTCGGCTTCTCGCTGGCCATGCACCGGCAGCTTCAGCCCGAGGACAGGCGGCTGTAAGTTCCCCGACTTCCCACCCCCGCCAGGGCGCCGGCCCGCGCGCGAGCAGGGGCGAGGGCGCGCCGCGTTCCCGCCCGCCTGCCCTGCCGGTGCGGCTGCCCCGCCCGGGACTCCGCCGGCCCCCGGGGAGCGCTGCCCGCAGCCCCGCCCGTCGCGGCGCCTCCCCCCATTCAGTCCTGGAAGCCGGAGGACCTGCGGGCCGAGCTCCGCGGACCCCGGCCCCCGTGCCAGGCGGGGCTGCGCTCGGCCTCGGGAGAGTTTACTTTTTTTTTTCTTTTTAAAAAAGTGCTTTCCGGAGATCCTTCCCTCCGGGCGTGTTTGCTGGGAACCCGGCAGGTGGCATGCTTTGCTGGGCTTCACGTGTGTGATTGGGGCGGGGGTGACCCGGAGGGTAGAGTCGCTGCATCGCTGTTGTGGGCTTGCTGGGAGCGTTGTTCGGAAAGATCCAGGCCTTTCCCAACTGCACACAGTACCTGGTTTCCTTGAAGACTCGAGAGCCCTGCAGAAGTTGGAAAGCCACTTTTCACCCTGCCCTTGCGTGGCTTTCCCTGCACGGCGGGCGCTCCTGTGGGAGCTATTCTTACACCCCTACTTTAAAAGAAAAAATGAGTTGACCAAGCACCTGTTCGCAAGACTAAGATCAGCTGAGAAAACAAGACCTTATAAGTGGTGTTCCCCGGCCCCCGCCCAGGCCCCAAAGCGCCCGGCGGTATCCGAAGACCCTTTAGGCGACTGCATTGGGCAGACCCAAGCCGAAAGTTTAAAGCAAAATGTCCGATCTGGGCTGGGGCTTTGCAAACGAGGTTTGGAAATAACCCCCTCCCCCACCATAGCCTAGCAGTGCTCCTCTCGGGAGAAAGTGGAGGCTGGCACGGCTTCGCTTCTCCTTTTCTTTCTTAGACGGTGTTGGTTCCCACATGATCAAACTATTTATGCTGGAGAGGTTTGGGAGCTTAGTCCGCCCTGATCGCTGTGGGTCTTCCTTCTTACTCTGTGCTACCGAAAAATAAACTCACAGGAGTTCCCTCCTCCCCCAAGGCTTTTAGTTGAACCGAGGCCCTTCCAGGACCGACAGACCGGAGAAAGCAAAGTGCAGCCACAGTAAAGAGAGGACTTTGTGTTTATGAGGGAGGAATGGGATTCTAAAGCTGGAGGAAACTCTTGATTTCTGCAATTACGAACTTCAGAATTGGTGAATCTTAAGAGTCAGAATTTTCTGCTAACACCTGCTAGTGAAGCAAAGAAATTAGTAGGGGGTGGGGAGGCTCAGGGCTGGCTAGCTGTGTATACTCTGCCTTCTCTTAGGGGAAATAATTGTCAAGCTGTAAATCTGAAATGAAAGGTGGTTTCTGTTACCTCAGTTAATGGATGACGTTTAGTGTCTCTGAATACTTAGTGTGTAAATGTGCTTCCACCCATATGGAGAATTTGAACCGGTTAGTGCAGCCATGATTGTGGGCCAGCGGAGGAAATACATTCTGCTTGGTAATCTCTTGACCTGACGCCTACTGAAGGTGATGTCTTCCTTGGAATACTTGTTACAGCAAAACATTGTGAAGGGGAAGTACTGGGGCAAGGAAATATCTTTGGGATGGAGACTTGCAAAATGTGACTTTAGACAGGAATCTCTGTCACTAAGCAGTATGCCTGCCAAAACTTGTTACTGCTGTTAGAGCCGCTGCCGGTCCTCCTGATGGGTAAGAATAAGCCTGTGGTTGGAGGCTGACGGAGAGGAATGGCTGATCACCTGGGAATGTATCTTTCCCTAGAGCTTAGAATGTGGCAGTAACCACACTGTAGCGAGCTGTCCTTTATGGCAAACTCTGTTCCCTCTCCCCTTCTTTTGGTAAAGTATTCCAGCTTCAGGAGCAGCTTTGGACCTCCCAGGAAAACCAGCACACACAGGCCATAATCATCACATCAGTTGTCACCTTTGTAACAGATGGTGGTGTAAATAACAGCCAGTGAGATTGAGACCCCACATCTTCTGGTCCAGTGTCCTAAGCTCTGCACTCTATAGAAAAGTTCAATAAGAGTATTTCAGGGAACCAGGGAGACAGACCCGAGCTCATATTCCTTCTGGGCCATGTAGCAGCTGTTAATTTATTTTGAGTCTTAGTTTCTTTATCTGTAAAATGGAGATATTATTGCTTAATGAGGTTGTTGTAAGGATTAAGAGACAGCATGTACAGTGCTAAATTCCTGCCTGGCATGGGTACTTGCTGACTAAGTGGCTGTTAATGGTGATAAATTTAGAGGCACTAATTCCATTCCTACTATGTGCCAGATACTGGACCGGTGTTAACCATTCTGCTTCTGACTGCCAAAGAGGAAAGCCAAAGTTTATTGTAGGTGGGGTGATGGATGTCGTAAACTCTTAAGTTACATTTATGAAACCTGTGTTCAAAGCAATTTAACTTAATTGGTCATAATTAGACTGATAACAAAAAGTGAATTTTCTGAACAAGCAACTTTATTGAGGCAGGAGAAGTAAAGATGTATGGGGATATCAGATGAATGCACTGTTACAGAAACTGGTATAGATTTTTGTGGGTTGAATTTTCTACAGTGTTATTTAAATATTTAATACCAATTTGAACTCCAGTTAAGATTTTATCACAGAATAATGTATCTGAGAGCCTTAGAACGTGTTGGGTGTTCCTAGAACTTTGGGGACTATAAAACTGAGCTTGAGACTATAAAACTTCACTCAGAGTTTTAATCTATGCATTAAGGAAGTTGGAGACTCCAAACGGTGATGAGATAGTTGTCTGAGTTACTGAGGTCAGGGTTTGCACTCCTTGGGATCTTTCATTTCTCTTAGGTAGTTAAGGTTGAGTTACCACCCCTGCCAGGCAGACGGTGTGGGATGACATCTGTGGGCATGTCTGTTCTGTGAATCATCACCCTTAGCTCTTCTGGGAAGAGATGGATCTGTGTTTGACTAGAAGGCAGAAACTAGAAGTAAGAAATCTTATTATTAAGCGCTTTTCTTATATAGCAGTTCTGGGTTTTTTCCCAGCCCATTATCTTCTTTTGGGGAACTTTCTGATCCTCATCATCTTCCAGAGGCTCTCCAGGCCCATTGTCCCTTCTGACCCTATCATATTTGCTTTTGATTTTTCTCACCTAGTGATGCTCCTGCTTTTAAAATCATTAACTAGAGGTCATCTAGTCTCCCTGGCTCCCTTTATAAATGAAGAAACTGCAACTGAAAGTTAGGAAATGTCTAAAATCTCACAACTGCTTTAGAATCTTCATAGAATCTGGATTTGAACTTGGTGTTTCTGACTGTGCTCATGCCATCTCCTAAAGGAAAAGTCAGAAATGTCCTTCAGACCTGGAGGAATTGGCTGGCATCTGAGTTTTGGAAATGTACTGTGTTATGTTGATTTATTAAATTGCTTTCCATGTGAATCAGGGCTATCCGTTTAAATATCTGTACCTGGACTCTCTTCTAATTAACCCTTATTCCAGCTGGCCTTGGATCAGCTTCCTGGTTCTTCTTTCTTTGCCTCTTATTCCCTCCCCGTCTGAAAAAAGCTCAGTGAGGGGTAACTGGAGCCAGCCAGGGACCAGAGCTACCTAAGCAATTGCTTTCTTGAGTTCATTCACGGTGCCATGTGGCCCAGGGCCAGCAACCAGGGACTGTGCTCGGTCACCTTGAGTCCTGAGATTAGAGAAAGCTCCAAAATGGGTAGGGAGACTTAGAGATCCTAGGACTATGCAGGAAGAGAAATAGACCAGTTTAATTTTAACGCAGGCTGGTATGAGCCATCCAGGTAATGACTTACGATTTGGAAAAAAAAAAAAAAAAAAAAAAACGGATCAGAGTACTCATGGTATGAATAATTTGTTAGGAGGGACGTTAAATGCTCACCTAAGGCTCTCTATGACTGTAAAGAAGCAGTTACCAAAGCAGTTGTTAGTTGTATTGTACTATTTTAACATAACAATAACATTAAGATTTAGTTTAAGCTTTGATAACCAAATAGAACTCTGAAGTATGACAGACAACTAGTTACCCCAGGACCTTGGCCTGACATATTACTGTGGACAGAATTGGCCAGTGAATTTGGCACTTTCAAGAGGGACCGTGGAGATGTAATAGAAGATGCTATTGTATGGTTAGCTGACCAGGTCAGTTTTATGTGGAACACTGATTGGTTCTCAGGCAGCCCATCTTAAGAAAGAACATAATCCTATCTCAAGAGCTAGTTTAAATTTCTCCATGAAAGCCTTTTGAGCCCAGCCTACACTATAGCAATTTCTTCTTCCTTTGAATATCTGTAGCACTTAGTATCATGTGTCTGACAGTTCTGATGGTTTTGTGTTTAACTGTTAGCTACCATTTTCAGAGGATAAACGAGTCTCCCCCAACTGGATTATAGGTAATGTGAGGGCAGGAGTTTTATGTTCATTTCTTTGCCTGATAGCACCTAGCATATGCGTTCCAGATACAATGTAGTCCTATCATACACTCAATTTAACTTGTGAAATCCATTCTTTCAGCTCAGAGTAGGGAGAGAAAGGAATTCTCTTTTTTAACTCCTTGCCATTCCCTGCTCAGAGTAGCCCTTGCACTCTGCTACTCCCAAGGAAAAAGAAAGGGAAGCTATAGGCATAGTCCAAGATGCTCATTCTTGGTTTTTGAGTTTTCAAGGATTCCCATCCCAGGTAAGGGATTTTCAGGAGTGATTTTAAATTACACTTGATTTTTGCCTTAAAGGCAGCTGACCCACACTGCAGTGGGTACTCAGGATTTGTTGGTTGTTATGACGAGACTAGACAGAGATGATGGCTATAGAACAAGATCCTGAAAGCACCTGACAAGGATGTGCATGGGTCGAATGGGAGTAAGCATGTGAAGGTACCAGTGAATTGATGGCTAAAGCTTTAGTCAGTCAAGGCTAGTAAGGGAATCTTGGATATGTGTAACTCTGGGAGCAGTGGTGGGAAAACTGTTGACCTCCAGTGGGAACTATAGAATGGTGAT